CGGGGCCAGCTGCTGAAGTTAGCAATGGCTTGGCTGCTATTGGGTTGGATCTTTAGACTTTAACTTTTTGGGAAATGAAGTGGTTTTCCACTAAACCCCCAAAAAGTTAAACTTTTTGCAGGGGGTCAACAGCAACCAAGATGGGTGGCTCGTATTTTTTTTCAAGGGTTTGGACCCCCTCAAAATGCCGCAACGGTTTCTCTTTTTGGTCTCCGTTTAATCCACAAACTGGGGGTAGCCTCAAAAAAGAAGGCAGTCAACCCACCGTCAAGCCATGTTGATTCACCAGACCAATCGGCAGAATGGCTACGTGGGACGGGTTTCAGTCTTCAAGGCCCAAGAAAAAAGGGCCCGTTCTGCTGAGTTCGAAGCAAGTTGTGTTTCCCAACAAAATCCGTAAGGATGCTTAGGTTTCAATTCGGACCTCAGTTGGTATGGCCTCAAGTCGGACCCTTAGAGTTTGCCCTGCAAGCCACGTAGGCTTGCAAAAGGATTGACCTGCTCCGGGGACTCATCGAGTCTTTCTCCGCTCCGTTTCACTGGGCGTCCAGGGATGATTCGTGTGTAAGGACCCCCGTGGAAATTTTCCTCCCGGACCAATGGGGCGAAACCTACCCTTTTAGTCGTTTTGCCGTGGACTTTTGGTGGTGTCAAAGTGTTTCTGCGCGGTCCACGAACGTGGCGGTGTTCCCTTTGGTGTCCCCTTTAAAGCTGAGAAGTTGATACCCAAACACCTCACATGGCCAGTTGGGCCACCCCGAGGTGCTTGTGGTCTGCCTGCTGGCGCCGCTTGCCCCGAGTTTTATGCACGCTCGGCGTGTCCCGAGCAGCTTTCAGTTTGGGTTTGTCTCCAAGTAGTGGCTTCAACGTGCACACCAGCCCAACACACTCGAAAAATCTCACACCCGCCAAGGGCTGGAGATCGCCGAACTGAACATGCGAGCTTGGTGTTCTTTTCCAAGGTTTCTCTTTTTGACGGTCGGTTCTTGAAGGGAGGGGTTGTAAAAAAGGGGCCGGCACTCCCAGCAATTCTCAAACCTTTGTACTTTGTAGGGTTCCCTTTGGAGGCATTTCCCTGCAATTCTCAAACCTTGGTAGGGTTCCCTTAGGCATTTGGCCCCAGTTTTACTCAAGGTTCCCTTTGCGTCTCTGGGTTGGGCAAAGTTGCTAATCAATGGCCATAGGCCCTTTAAAAAACCAGGTTACCTGAGGCACCATGTGGCTGTGGGTCAAAACCAATGGTACCATTTTGGGGTAGGTGCGCCACCAATTTTAGTCTATTTTAGTTGGGATTGGGATGTTCACTGGGGGTACGGGCTTTTGACCCATGGCCATGTCTCCCTGGCTGGTTTTTCCAGTCAAAACTCCAGCGACAACGCAAGACGTCGTCTTTGGAGAAAGCACTGGGTAACCGGCAAACCAGCCAATTCCGTCATATAGGGAATCCTAGAATGGGGTTTCCCGTTTTGGTGGCTGTTTTAGGGCTTCATCCGTCTAGCCCGGTGGCAGATGTTCCCTCAGGCCGGTGTGGGTCTTCAAACGACACCCAAGCGAAGAACCGAAGCCCGTGTTCGGGGTCCGATTCCTTTCTATGTATGTATAGATATATATGTCTTGGTGACCGCCATCCATCCCCTTAGCTTTTTAGCCTTTTAGTGTTTAGTGGTTGGATTTCACCAAAGGTGGCAAAAAGACTTCCCTGTTCAGGAGCCTTTTAGCCTTTTAGTGTATAGTGGTAATTTCCATTTAACCCACAAGTTAGTCACTTTTAGCGGGGGATCCGACAACGGGCAGCCCCCGATACCAAGCCCCACGTGGCCACAGACTCGGAGCTCCGGTCGTTCCGCCGCTCGCAACCCGAGGAACGCGGCCACCTTTGGATGGCAGGCCAACGTGATGGCCGGCGAGCTGAAAATGGGGACGCCCGCTGGGGGCTCAGGGGTCCTCAGAGGGCGTGTCTCTATGAATATATATATACATACACATATACACATACATATACATATACATATATGTATACATAAATACATATATATATATATATACATACATATATATATACACATACATATACACATACATATACATACATATATATATATATACATACACATACATATACATACATATATATATATACATAAATATATATATATATATACACATACATACATACATACATACATACATCTACATCTACATCTACATATACATTTACATATACATATACATATACATAGACATAGACATAGACATATACATATTACATCGGCACATACACATACATATTATACATATACATATACATATGCATATTACACATATACATACACACACACATATATATATATATATACATACATACTGCATATGTGTATAAATATATATATATATATAGGGGGAACTTGAGGGGGAGCCTTTTCAGGTTGGTGAACACGGGACACCAAAAAAGAACAGCGGGTCGCCAGCTTGGGAGTTGAGATCCCTTTGGCCCTGGGAGCCCATCCAAACTCAGAGGTGTTGCTTTTTCGGCTAAAAACCAGAAAAAGTAGATGGGGCGTCAAAGAACATGGAACAGGATTCGCCTCAGGAAAGGGGATGGGGTGGTTTTTTGGAACAAAGGAGATTGAGGTTTGGTTTTGGGATGGATTTCTTTGTGGGTTGCTGCTTTGTGTTTTTGTGTTTTTGTGTTTTTGCGAGTCCTGGATGCATGTTGGCAATCCTTTTGGTCATAGCCTTGGTGAGTCTCTCAGATTCTATGATGGTTTCCTCTACCAAACCAAAGCGACCCCATAGGTGATTCATCAGCGTTTATCGGATACACAGCCGCGTGGCTGGTGTGTAAAGGGTGCATGTTCTCTCCTGGGCATTCGGAACCAAAGACCGTAATTGACCTCCATCCGTAACATACCTGTCCGTGAGCAATTAACCTGGCTGTATGTAAGTAACTCACCTTCCCGCCCGCAAGTAACACAACTGTCCTTGCGCAACTAACCTTGCCGCACGTAAGAAACTAAACTTCCCATCGGGGGTTTTCCTTTAGCCTCAACCACCCGGAAAAAAAAGGGGTGCCTGTGCTTCATGGCATGGAATTGATCTGGGATCTGTTTCTTGATTTCGTTTGGTTGCCAGAATCAATCAGCTGGGTGTTTGGTTGGGCGAAAACAGAGCTACAATGCCGACCCTCCCTTTTTGACAGTTGTTTGAGGGGAACCCACATTTTCGTGGTGCTTGAACGCTTTGTGACCTGCTAAAAGAGGGGTTGTGGGCTCCAAGTGCGCAAGCCCATCCCCCTTTGCAAGAGAACAAGGGGTGGGGTTCCCAGTTGGGACCAAAACAAGAATCATTGCAACAGCCTGACCTTGGCCTTCTAGGGTTAGCTGAGGCCACGTTTTGCCAATAGAGGTTTGAACAACCAGGGGTCTTCCAGGCTCTGGGTTGAATGGTGCGACCCTCCAGAACAAATTCGCGGACCTTTTCCTCCCAACTTTCGGACCTGGTTAGTTTTGTTCCCCGCTAGGGTCCCGGACCTTTTGGTTCCTTCCTTCCCCATTAGCCCAACTCAACTTGGGGTCCTTTCTTTGAGAAGTCTTTGGATCACTCGCACATCACTCGCCCTTTTTGGCTTTAGGTGGTCTTCACGGTGATTGCGCCGTGGCAGATGAATTGGGCAGAGGGTTTTGTTGGTGCACTTTTAACTTTTCGGGGGTCCTCTCCGAATCTAGTTTCTATTCCAGGGTAGACACATACTGAACATCATCTGCTCACATGATTTGCTGTGTGCACCAGACGTGGGCGAGGAGCTGACAACCTTACTTGGTTTCTAAATGAGGGAATCCCCAAATGGGCGACTTTTTTCCCCTTTGGTTTTCCTTGAGAACCGTCCCAAGAAGGGTACTTGCGGTCCCAGAAGTAGAGGACAGCTCCGGAACAGGCAGAGGTTTGGTCGGAAAATGCTTCGTTTGGTTCTGGACATGGGGGAAGGAACCCTAGATATGGGTGTGGCTCAAATTAACAGGAGGGGCAAACCGCAGGTTTTGGTCCATGCCTTCACCTGCCAGGGTTCCATTTTGGTACCGGTTTTTTGAGTCACAGCCATATCAATGTAAAACACACCTAGAAAAGTACATACGTCTACCTATGGGGGAACAAACCCAACATTTCCCACAAAGCCCAGGGCAAGCAGATGTTTTCGCACACGGATGCCCTACACATTGTACGTGATCCACTGCTCTTCATGTTTAGCTTGCATGTATATCTATACATATATATATATATGAATAAATAAATTAAGCCTATATAGATATAGATAAATTTGGGGGTTCCATCTCGCTCGCCAGATGCGGATTTGGTGCTGTGTGACGGGGGTTCCCAATTTGAGATGGGTATGCGTCAAGATTAGACGGCAGGGGACGGCAGGTTTTAGTCCTTGTTTCCAGGCTAGTTTTGGGTTGCCCTTTTTTTGACCCACGCCCAGATGTACCCTTGCATTGGAAGGCGCCCCAGGTTCATGCCTCGCTTGGGCTTAGTTTGTGGGGCCCTTGGTCTCTTCAAATCCTTGTGCGGTCATTGGGAGTCGCTGCGCCCGATCTCCGAAATCTTCGTTGATTCGCTTTGGCTTTCTGCCGCCTCTTTTTCCCTTTTCCTCCCTCTTGGGTCCTGGTTCGTCTGTGGCCTGTCGCCCGAAAACGGTCAACTGCCAGGGGTCCCGATGTGTCTCTTTTTCGCGGTTCATGTTTGGTCCCATTTAAGAACAGTTCCCCTTGGGGTTGATGTTTGTAGTTTGGACACATAGGCACCCCTGTAAAAAGGGAAGAACAAACAAACTTGCTGGCTGCCTGGAATGAGACATGGAATGACCCCAAGAGAAAACCCATCCATCCTACGGTTTCCCAGGGAATCGATTCCCTCAAAAACAACCCAAGCCACCCGGACTCGGTCAACCCGTCATTCCCTACATGGAGCGAGAAGCAAAAAACTTAGTGGTTCAGGATGTTCAGGGAATGAGAAATGGAAGGACCCCCAGAAAATTCATCCATCCTATGGTTTTCTTTATTCGGAAGTTTCGGACTCGGTGGTTGTCATTCCCTAGCCTATGGAGCAAGAAGCAAAGAAGCCTTATGGCGCTGGCAAACGCTTAGAACATCACCTTCTGCGTGGCCTTCACCCTGGAGCTGGTGCTCAGGCTCTACGCCCACCAGATGCAGTTCTTCATCGGGGAGCCTCGCATGAAAAAACAAAAAGCGTCGGGGGGAGGGGGAGGGGGGGGGCTTCCAGAGTTGGGGTCCACCCCCATCCGGGCGGATTTTCTCAGCGTCGACTTTTGGGGCCATTGAATGGAGTTCCCTTTTGGTGGAGTGATGTTTGAGGCTTTGAGGAGGGTATATAGGGAACTCTGTTGGGGAGGTACGGAAGAGAAGGTCAGCCTGCGAATGGGTTCCCTTTAAATCGGCAGAAGATGATGCGTCAAACGCATGGGCCCTCGTTATGCTCCTGGTGCTTTGGTCTGAGATGCGATGCTTTGTGCTTTGACGGTTAGGCCCGAGTGTGTTGTTTTTCTCAAGAAGGATGCTTTCTTTGTGGATGATGCAACTGAAAAGCAACAGCGCGCAACCTCGATGTGAGTCCTTTTGTCGCGTTTGCGGGTGCCAAAAGCACAAAAGGGACTCAGGGCCTCGGGGAAACCCAAATCATAGCCAAGAAAAACAGGAAGTAAAGCAACGAAGTGATCAGTTTGCCACTCCAACGGCCCCGACCCCCGCTTACCAGAAAAGGATCCGCCTCACCCGTTGCCATGATTGTTTGCGACATGAAGGCATCTTCAGAAGCCACCATATCTTTGTTTGCCTTCTCTGCCTTTTCAACACCACCTAGATAGCCGAGTTGCGATCGCTTTTTTCAGTCACTGTTGCTGGCTTGGGTAAAGTGCATGGACAAAAAGAAAAAAAACCGATCGCGACTGGCGATCCAGGCAGTAAGCTGCCTTCTTGTGGCCTCTTGCTTAGGGTCGCTCGGGCTCTCTGAGGATGGCTGGGCCTGGAACCTCTTCGATGGTATTGTGGCAGCTGGGCCGAATGCAGCGGGGAGCCGTTGAAAACTACCGAGGTGTGTGTTTGTGTGTCTGCGTGTGTCTGTGTCTGTGTTTGTGCGTCTGCGTGTTTTGAGTAGCCTTTCTCAGTTTGGCAAAAGGACAACCTGGGTTGGCCTCATGATTCAAGTTGTTTTGAAAGAGCCCCACAACCATATTCAATCTGATGAATGGGAACTCCGGGATGATTTTTCCTCCCATGGCTGAGTCATGGGGGGTGTCCCCCCTTGGAGAAGACCCCTGAATGAATGGAAGCGGTTCATTTCATGACTTCCCCAGAATTAGCTCCCCTTTTTGTTATTTTTTTGGGGTCCCTTTGTTTTCCACTAACCTGGAAACAAGATGCCTTTTTTGCTGGGGTCCTAATTCCAGCCTAGATGAGGGGTAAGCAGGCCCTTATGACTAGGTTCTCTTCAGCATCGTGGACGAGCTCTCCCAGCTGTTGCTGGTCTCGGACACCCGCCTGCTCGGCTTCGCCGGTGTGCGCCTCCGATTTGAAAATTCCAGCGATTTGATCTGCCGTTATTTTGTTTTTGCCGGGGGGGGGGGTCGGGGTGGAAGAGGGGGTTGGCAAAATTGGAGTGGGGGGGGGAACGGTCCTGTACTTTTCTGAACATTTGCTTTTGCACATGATAGTTTTGGTTTTTGACATGATGTAGGCCCTGAAAATTTGAGTCTAAGAAACTTGGTGACATTTGCAAGGATCCAACCCCTACAACCCTCGGTTTCCTCCAAACACGGCCTCAAGTTAGGGTCTTATGGTCATGTGGGGTTCCACAGACCTCCACCGGTGCGGTGTATAAATTATTTTTCTGAAGGATTCACCCTCAATGGGACAGCCCCTCTTTCATTTCAACAGGGTCTGATCAACAGATACCTGGTCACTTCATAAACACAGAGGGTGAGGTATTGAGGTATTTGGTGATTGTTTTTCCAGAACCTCGTTTCTGTCACTGACCCTTGTCTGCATATTTTTTTGCGTCCCACGGTCCGCACACCGAGGCTGCGGATGCTGCGCTTGGGCCGCCTGCTGCGCCTGGTGCGCTTGATCCGGGTGATCCCGGCGCTGAAGTCCATGGTCACCCTGCCACTCGGTGAAAATTTGGCAAGGGATGTCAGAGAACGGGGGTGTTTCCCTTAACCCATCAAGGGGCGTGACTTTCATCATGTTAAAATATAACTTTGGTGCATTGTGCCAAGGGAAGTCAAGACTTTTTAACTTTTTGCCAACGAAGAGGGGTTTTCCGTCTTAACGCCACTCAAAGTTAAAACCACTAAGGCTCATTTGGGTTTTCCGTGTGAGTCACTTGTAGCAGGGCCGGCCGCAGATTTCGCCGCCGAGCCGCCCGAAGGGCGGAAGGGCTTTGCTTCGAGAGATCTTTTGTCCGGTCCTTTCTGCCCGGTTCCAGGCTCCACGAGGTCCCCGTTCTCCTTGGCTTTTTTGTCGGGTAGATGGGCCACTGAAGTTCAGAGAGAACCTGAAACGGCCCAACGAGAGCGAGGGCGAGATGGGTGCGGCAACCAAAATTAAACGATCGGAGGGGCAAACCGCAGGTTTTGGTTCATGCTCCCACTTACCAGGGTTCCATTTTTGTACCAGTTGTTTTTGAGCCACAGCCAGATGCCACAAACACGAGAGGCATGGAATGGTTTGGTGGGCCAAAGCGGGGTCCGGTCCGGTCCAGTCGGTGGCAAATCGCCCAGAACGAGTCCAATGGTTCAGTGTGATCGGTTGGCTTGGCTTGGCTGGTTGATAGCCAATAGCCCTGGGTTTGGCGGATTGACACATCTAGGTATACCAGTGTACGTGTATATATATATATATACACACATAAAATGCTATCTATGTATCTACCTGTAGATGTATGCATATATACATATATATATATATATAGTTGAGTGTGATATATAAATGTTCGAGGAGTTCCTTCTGTATAGATCTGCTCAGTGTCCCTTTTTCACTCTCCTTGACCTGGCTCTTCGGTTCCAAGTCTTCGTGCTCTTACCGTCCTCTTGGCAACAAGAATCAAGCTACAGACGATTCCTGCGCCTGCTACCTATTGCACACGCGCGGACGCTGGATCATCCTGGGTTTCATTTTTTTCTTTGGACATGCATTTTCCTTGCGAAAGCTCCGATGATGCTGGCGGCGTCAGACCAGCGACGAATGTAGTCCGCAGACTGTTGCGACATCTGTTTCCAGCAGGCCAAAGCACTGGCAATGCGGGGGGTGTCGCCCACTTTTAGTAAGCGGACAATCGCTTTCGTTCTTAAAACGCTGTGATGCTGGGAGGGACGACAACTCTAGTCTACGGACGTTTAGTGAAATCGACGTTTAGTGAGCGGAGAATTGTTTTCTTCATTTGAACGCTGGAGGTGTCGACCACTTTAGCCAACAAAGACCGTCAAAGGCAGACATGTTGGGCTCGAACAGTGCAATTTTGCATTTATTTTGTAAAAGACATTGATGCCGTCAAACGATTTGGAAACTGCACCATCTACTTTTGTACCGAACAAACAAAACACCTACAGGCGGTTCTGCCTCCCGCACCTTGCTGCACGTGTGCGTACCTTGAATAGTCTCAAGTTTCAATCTTTTAGCTGGAGGTGTCAACCACTTTAGTCAACTAAGACTGTCAAAAGCAGAACGAGCCATGCGGGCTCAAACAAATAGATTTGGTAATTCACTAACAGAACTTCGATGCCGTATCAAGTTTGGAAACCGCGACCTCTTTTTTTTCTTCCTGTGTGTCTTTTGGCTGCAGGGCAGAGGGTCAGCCTAGCAATGTTTGTATGTATTTCGTAGCTCAGATGTGTAGGGTCTTATTACCACTGGTGACGTGGGCTTCTGGATACGCCATCCTGCTGCCCCAGCAACAGACATAGTCTCCTGCAGGCGAACAACAGAGAATCAATCAGTGCCTTTCTGCCGGCTACCTTTCACATTTGGCCGTTTGCAGATGCAATATCCGCACTGCAGCCAATAACGAAATCCGGCTAAAAAGGATTTGCTGGTCACCAGGGGACATTCCATGTTTGTGCATTGGTCTGCTTTTGTCCTACAAGAGAGGAGCCCTATCATTCAATGGCTTCCTTGTAAAAAACCAGCCAAAACATGGTTGTTGTTGGGAGACATCTTACTTTTTTGCTTGTTGTAGTTTAGTGGTTGAACTCCAACCACTTAACTGCTTATTCCCCAGATAGCTGAAAGCTATAGGGGTTCTAACTTCTAATAAAGAAGGGAAAGTGATTTGCGAGATTGAGGGCCGGGTGCTGGGGGGCATGCAGTTTGGGGTGCTGGTGCAGGTGCTGTTTTGCGAGCTTGACTTCCGGGTGCTAGGGGGCATGCAGTTTCGGGTGCTGGTGGAGGTGCTGTCTTGCGAGATTGACGGCCGGGTGCTAGGGGGCATGCAGTTTGGGGTGTTGGTGGAGGTGCTGTTTTGCGAGATTGATGGCCAAGTGCTAGGGGTCATGTAGTTTGGGGTGCTGGTGGAGGTGCCGCTTTGCGAGATTGACGGCCGGGTGCTAGAGGGCATGCAGTTTCGGGTGCTGGTGGAGGTGCCGCTTTGCGAGATTGACGGCCGGGTGCTAGGGGGCATGCAGTTTGGAGTGCTGGCGGAGGTGCTGTTTTGCGAGATTGACGGCCGGGCGCTAGGGGTCATGCAGTTTCGGGTGCTGCCGCTTTGCGAGATAGGGGGCATGCAGTTTCGGGTGCTGGTGGAGGTGCTGTCTTGCGAGATTGACGGCCGGGTGCTAGGGGGCATGTAGTTTGGAGTGCTGGTGGAGGTGCTGTTTTGCGAGATTGACGGCCGGGCGCTAGGGGTCACTCGGGTGCTGGTGGAGGTGCCGCTTTGCGAAATTGACGGCCGGGCGCGAGGGGGCGTGCAGTTTGGGGTGGCGGTGCAGGTGCTGTTTTGTGTTGCTGTTGGAGGCGCTGCTGACCGTGTGGGCTTATTTCCCGGATAACTGGAAACCATAGACTTCTAATGAGTGCTGTTCAGCTCAGGTGCTACCACCCCAACGCAGCACCCGCGCCAGCGCCGGACATGTCCCCGAGCACCCTGCCGTCACGTACTATGTGGATGGCAGGGTGCTAGGGCGTGTGCTGTTTGAGGTATCGTGGTTGTCGCATCATCCTGATGCTGGCCGCAGCATCATGATGCTGTCAGCAGCACCATGATGCTGTTGAACTGATTCGGACGTTGTTGCTGCTCTAACTGTCGCGCGTAATGGTTCGTGGCTTGTGTGTCATCATGATGTTGTCAACCACGTTATGATGCTGCTGCAATCGCTGCGGTGCCGTGTTATGGTTTGCGGGTGTGGTGGCGGGCATAATGCTGTCAACATCAGGGTCGCGAGATGATTTGTGGCTGTGGTATCATCAGGATGCTGCCGTTGCCATCACCATGATGCTGTGAACATCATCATGATGCTGTCCGCATCATCATGATGCTGTCGAACTCATCAGGACGTCGTCTCTGCCTTTTTTCTGCTAGATATGTAGCGCGGAATCGTTTGTGGCTGATGTGTCAGCATCACCCTGTCAACAGCATTGTTTTGCAGATGGACTCACTAGGACGTTGCCTGCGCGTCTATGTAGCGCACTATGCTGAGTAGCTGTTGTATTTTCATGATGCTGTCAACATCATCAAGATGCTGTCAACATCATCATCATCATGCCGCCGTGGTGTGCTATCTGGGGTCTATGCTGGTGTAATTTTATTTTATTTATTTTTGCTCCCCTTCCAACGTCAACCAAGAAAAGGGGCAATTTTCGTCCACCCCTGGCCGTGACCGTCGCTTCGAGTTCGAGGATCTCAGCTTCCGTGAACTCCTTCTTCTGGACAGGCGCCGTCGAGCCGTTTCGCAAGCGGAGCGAGGGGTCGGGGTCGGGTGGTCGTGGGGGTGGGCTGCGGGCGGCTGGGTGGATGGTTTGTTTGCGTTGGTTGGTCGCTTGGTTTGGTGCTTGGTCAAGTGGTCCTTTTTTGTTGCAGGAGGAGCTCCTGATCTGCAGAAGGGCAGATATTTCGGCGCTTGCGCAGGTCATGCTGCGATCTTTGATGACTTGGCGCACTTTTTAAACCTTTTGGGCTCCAGCGAAACAAAACAGCAAGTTTTCGATGCCCAGAGGGCGTTCCTCAAAATGTGGGACCCTATGTAGTTTCCTTTTGGTGTCCTATTAAAGCCATGCAACAAAGGGGGTCTGCCCTCTTTTGAGACACAGCGAAGATTGTCTAAGGTTAGAGCTAACTTTGGGGCGAAGGGCACGGTATTCGGCAATGCAGAAGAGCACTTTTCGGCGAGGGATGCCACAAATCCACGAGACCGGTTGTGTCCAGCTGCATGTTACGAGGTGCCAACTGAGTCACTTGCTGAAAACCCGGGACGTTGGAGGGTAAGGGAAAATCCCAGCGATAAAAAGGGTGCGGCTGCCACTACCATTGTCACCACCGCCACCACCACCACCATTATCACCACCATTATCACGACCATTATCACCACCATTATCACCACCACCACCACCACCACCACCACCGCCGCCGCCACCACCACCACCACCACCACCACCACCACCACTGCCCAAATGCTGAGACCTGGCGCAGCCGCTTTTCTTTGCAGAGCATCTGCTCGGAACGGCAGGCGTTTTGCTGCTGATCCTAATGTACTGCGTGGCAGCGCCTTGGATCGCACGTGGCTTCCCGGCTTCGCGCCCCTCGCACAAAGTCAGTGGACTTATGTGCAAGGGCTGGACGTCCTCTTGACTCTGCCAGTTTCTTCTCTCAGAATGTGTTCTATTTTCTATCTTCTCAGGTTTTATTTTGCCTGTTGGGTTTGAAAGGGAATCGAGCATTTCTGGACCATTTCTTATGTTTTTCCCCGGGAAAGACCGCAAATGGCTTTCCCTGTGGGGCCCCATTGGTTTTAAAGGCGCTTCTCTGCTTTTGTCTTGTGTGTTGTTTTCCCTGTTGGGTTTAGTTTTTTTTTTCCAGAGAAGGATCTCCCTGGCGAGGCATGGCATTTTTGGCCCGGCGCACATTTCAGGCTCGGGCCCCTGAAAATGGGGTTCGTAAGGACGATGAAACTAGCTGCTGGTTGGAAGGGAGCCAAGGAGCCAGGGGCATCTAAATTGTTGCTTTTTCAGACTCGGGACCAGGAGTTTTCCGGAAGGACATGGACAAGGGAAGCCGCCCATTTTGGGGGTTCAAATCGAGTAGACGAATCCACATCCGATGGTCGCAATGACCGATGGTGGGGTAGGACTCAGCGCCTGTGCCATGCTTCCGCCGGCATCTTGAGACTGTTCCCAGGAAGAGTGTCCCCTGCCTTTGTCTTGGCTCGCAAGCCATCCGGTTCCTGAGGTTTTCGGTGGTTTAGTAGTTGGGTGTCCGAATTTAGCCCACAAGTAAGTCACCTTGAGCCGGGGATCAGCTTGCCGTACTGACACCACCCAAAATTGCGCGACGCGTATGTGTGGGCTATTGGAGTGTCAGGAAGCGAAAGAGAAGCTTTGTTTCTTTTATCAGTTCGTGGTTCCCATCACAGGCTCATTTTTGCGTTTTCATGATGGGTTGCGAGGTTCCGAGAGTCGACCAAAGCCTGAAGGCAAAACACGCTTGGGTGTTTCTGAAAACAGCGGTCTTTTTTGGGCGATGCTCTTTTTCTTTTCCCCCAAAAAGGAAGCCGACGGCATACAGCAAAGCCTGACCTCTTTTGGCCGGATCGGGATATCTGGTCATCTGGTCGGAGCGATGCTTCCTTCGGAAAAGCAGAAAGCGTTTAAACGACCATCCCCCGCTCTCGTGAAAGGAAGGCCTTGGAAGGGAGCTCTCAGGAGCGGAAGGAGCTTCGGAGCTACCCGATCGATCGGAGTTATGGCTAGGGACCATGTAGTGGCTGAAGCATGGTTAAAAAAAGAGGGGTTTCGCCCAACATGGTTTTAAAAAAGGGGGTTTCACCCAACATGCTTTCATCCGGGGGGGGGGTTCACCCCCCCTTCTGGTTTCTACAAAGTTCACTCTTGAGGGGCTGAGGGGCCTAGAGCTCAGCCCGAAGCTCCGAAGCTCGAGCTCTGCAGAGCTCACCCCAGGAGTTCGCACCTGGAGTGCGACAGGTACGATTCGCCTCGTTTGACATGGAACCCCAAAGCAGGGTCCGATTCGAATCCGAAAAGGACACTGCTCTACTCAAAAGGGGCGATGGGGTACGTCAGGTTCGTGGTTGATAAGCCTGGTGGAATAATGCACTGAACGGAGACTTATAACTGTGGCTTTTGTGGGTTATGACCAGGCTTACTAAGCACTTATTCAGTACAATGCCCCTTTAAGTAGAAATGTTTGTTTCGAGCAGGGAAATACGCCCTGCCGTTGACCCCGTTCCCCAAGTGAGTCTTGCTTGAGGTGTACTTTACAGAGCTCGCCACGGACGTTCGCATGAACATTCAGGAGGCCGGGCAATGTGTTTGGCTGGTTTGATAGGCTCCTCTTTCGTTGGAATGACCACGAAAGAACCATCCAACTGGTGTGGTCCTTTATGGTTGATTGGGTTCATTCGCAAAACACACGTGATACTGTGGATGGACGAATTCCTGCACCACGAAATGAAACCATGGTTGAAACCATAGCGTTCGTTGCTGCGAAATGCATGGATCTCGCAACCGTCCGCAGTAGGGTATGACTTCGAAAGAAAAGACCGAGGTGAAAATCCAAAACGACTGGCTTCAACAGCCAATCTTTGCAGGGCAGTCGCCGCTCAAAAGCTAAAGTTGGAACATCCAAGTGGCTGCCTCGCTTGAGCCACAATCAAAACCCGGCTAGATGAAGGTTAGTAAGGGACAATCCCAACCATAAATAGCTGCGGCCGCCGTCTTAGTTCTTTCTGAGTCGACCATTTTAGTACCGGGTTTTGAGTATGCCTCACTTGAGTTCCGTTTCGGGCTTGAGGCACTCTTCGGGCTTGGACCATTTCAGTTGCACGCAACAAGTTGACTTTCTTTTGGCCCATCCACTCAGCAAGTGAGTTGCCTAGTGAGGCAGTAGGATGAAGACACACTCTTACGGGTGACTAAGGATGGTTGTGGACCCTTTCGTAAGGATTTTAGACAACCATTGCAAGGGTTCCTACCAACAGAATCATGACCATGGCCTACGCAACCACTTTGACTTTAAAACCAACAAGCGTTCCCCACAAAAAGACACACCTTTGGAAGCTGTGCCAGGAATTTATGGTGGAAAGACTCATCGGACAAACTGGCATCCATCGAGATCCTCTGCCTTTTCTCTCATGCCCAAACCGAGCTAACCGGATCTGACTGTTTGGTTCCCCCTCCTTGGTTCCCTGTTTTAGCCAACAACTCACGCAAAAACATTCCCAAAGCAACCCTAAAGGCACCGCTTAACCAGCAGCACACTCAACACAAGTAAGCTCCAAGCCAACCCCAAATCCACCCAAAGTCAACCCTAAACTCGCCCAACAGCAGCCTCGATGTTAGTTTTTAGCTTCGCCTAAATCAACCCGGGCCAAGTGAGGCTGGCGATGCAACACCTCTACCTGTGATTCCTTCTGGTGTCCGGAAATCTGTTGCCTTGTTGTTTTTAGCCATTGGGGCGTGTCTCTTCCTTTTTTTCAGGCGACCTCGAACATATCTGGTTTTCCTGCTGGTTTCCCTTGAACCCCCCTCCCCTCCCCTCCCCTCCCTCCCAGCGACCCCCAGGAGTTTTCGTTTTGGGAACGCCGTTTGCTTGCGCCCGGCTCTCGAGAAAAAGGCGGAGAGGCTGGCGGAGATCCAGAGATACTGGGGCTCCTTGGGCCAGGAGCCGCTGCCGTTTTTTTTTTTTTGGGGGGGGGATGGGCGGGAAGGACGGCAGAGTTCCATATGTGTTTTCCTGGATGGAAGTTTGATCCGTTCCTTTGCGCAAGCAACAAAGTCGAGCTTTGCCTTCATGTGTGGTTCGGTGGGTTGGGTTGCCTTGGAACAGTTGTTGAGCAAGTATGGCGGTGGTGGTCAACACCGTTTTGGGATTCCATCTTGGCAGGTGAATTCACCCATTTTAGTCTATTGTAATGGGGATTGGGATGTTCACTGGGGGTACGGGCTTTTGACCCACAGCCATACGAATTTCAACCCCAGTGCATATTAAAACGGGTTTTGTGGGTTTCTCCAAAAGTAGTCTAATTCCAACCACTAAACCCAGTTGGACACCCCCTATTGATAAAGTGGGGTTGATTAATACGTGGTTAATACTAGGGAATAGCAAGAGTTTAAAACAACCATACCCAGGTTGTGGAAAGGAACACCAAAAGGAGAGTGTTTAAGCGATAGTTTAGCTGGTGGCTGGGGAGAGAAGCTGGGAGCTGGCGGTATCCAAATTTGCTTAAGAGGGAGAGCGTGTTGGAGCTAGGAGTTCTTGAAGGACATGGTGATGGAACTTTCTTTCCCGGTTGGAGGGCAATCCAAAAAGGTTAAGAAGGATCGAGATTCACGTGGGTCTGTCTTCTTTGAGGCTCGGTACTTGAGTTTTGGATTGAGCAGGGAACCACTGATGTGGACAAATTAAAAAGAAAGGTACTTAAGGTATTCATATGGCTGTACAAATTAGAATCCTTATGAACCGAATTCCAAGACAAGGATTATAATTTGGACAAGTCCTTACTTTCGGCCAAATTAAACACCTCCCCGAAGGGCTCCTGTGGAATTTGGTTGGGTGGAAGCTCCGAATTGGCGTCTTTGCATTGCAGACGTCGGCAATCTGAGTCTATCACTGACCGGGGCCGAACAGGGACAGAAAAAATCAAACTTTGTCCGGAGAACCAACATGAGAACTGAAAGAAACAGCATTTGGAAACTTGCCATTGACAGCCAACCTTCAACTTATCCGACCAGGTTTAAGGCTTTCTGAAGCTCGAGGCAATTGGCAGCACACCTTTCAGCTTCCCGGCATTTCCAAATGACCCAACAGGGGGTGCGTGCCTGCATCCTTCACAATGGCTTGCGCACATGATACATGTTGGCCGCATTGATTTTCACATTTACCGGCTGAGTTGAGAATTCCCTTCTGAACACGTTATTCGGGGATGTATCTGTTGGTGAACCCTGTCATACGTTTTTGCGCGTCCCGTCCTACCGGGCTTTGATGAACCGCAAATTCGAAGTTCATGGCAAACCGGCAAACCTCTGATCGCTTCCCTCTACTGCTATTTGGGTTGGATCTTTGGATTCACCAGATATTTCCTTTTAACCAGCAAAAAGTGAACAACTTTTTGCTGGGGGATCTACAGCACCCAAGTTCCGGTCCACGCTTCCTATGCCCAAGTCTTGCAAGTCCGTAAGGCCATCAGCCGGGGTGGCCCGTTTTTTGATTGCCTTACTCGACACGATGTGTGTGCCCCCCGCAAACACCAGTCATTTTGAGGGGGAACCCCGAAAATGGTTGGTTTGATTTTGTGCTCCCTTGAAAATGTGGGGGAACCCCGAGAATGGTTGGTTTGATTTTGTGTTCCCTTGAACATCATGCACCAAACCGAGCCCAAAAGGGCCAAGGCCAACCCCGAATTCCGGGTGACTCGGGTAGGCCGTGTCCTCCTTGTTCCAGGCCGGTGGCGCAAGCCGAGGGTTGAAAGGGATCGGTTTTTCAGTTTGGTTCCCCAGCCAATACGGAGGGGGTGAGCCCTCCTGTCCATCGACATGGAATCTGACGTTTCGGGATTTGGCTGTGGGTCAAACATATGTACCCAAAATGGCTGGCCCTGGTAAATGGAAACATGGACTAAAACCTGCGGTCCCCTAGTGGTTTAATTTTGACCCACTCCCATTTGGGCAATTTTCCTTTAGAAGGGACCGTCTGGTGGGTTCCGAGTTGGTGGACAGGAGGGTAGCCTCCCCAAACGGCCCGCGTTGCTGGGCTGCTTGGAGTTCGTGAGAGACATGAGCGGCTTCCAAGCCGAGCCAGCCTTGAGATGTTTCTATTTTCTATGTGGCTGTGGGTCAAAACTGAAGAATTTGATCGGTCAGTATGGGGTTTTACATCCATTGCATCCGCAGTGTGGCTGTTCAAGCGTGAAAATGTGCGAGCAGCGCACTTGGACGGTTTGTTGTTTCTTTTTGGGCCCCAAACCGGTAACCCTTGAATCTATAGGTTATCAGCCGTAGGCCCCTAGCTCTAAGCAATGGACGGTTCCCTTGTGCCAGTTGATGGATCCAGCATGCCTGTGGATGCTGCCGGAGCTAGCTCCGGCAACGCCACCGGCGGCGGTGTGCGAACGTTCGCATCAAGCGCTAATGCGCAATACAACCGCACCCTGATGAATTCCCTTCAACTGTACAATACCGCAATCTTTGCTTTTGGGAATGATGCAGCCATTAGGTCTGAAGCCGAAGCCCTGCATCAAGCAGCTGTTACGCATTTGCAAGCGGAAAACCGTGAGGAGCTCCGTGCCGCACAGAATCAGCTGCATGCACACTACGCTGAATGTGCGCAAGCCCAGTCGCATAGGATTCGTGAATACGAACAGCGAGTGAGCGATGAGTTCATTCAAGAAGTGAACTTCGCTGAAGCTAGGATAAGCCAAGTGTGTGAGGAAAATGCCCAAGCATTGCATGAAGCGGAAATGGGACGCAAAACAACTGAGTTTAGGCAAGCCATCGAATCCACCCTGGCGGAAGCCCAGCAGCTCCTTCATGAGCAAGCTGCCAAGCACGCCGATGACACAGCCCGTGTCGAGGCGACACACGCCAGAACGGTTGACATGATGGCCCACCAAAACGGGCTTCTGCAGGACGAGCTCGATGAGCTGAAGAAGTATCAGAAGCAACACGACCTCCGCGAGGATGGTTCGAAGCCCAAAGGGGTAGGTGATACCCGAGAGGATTCACCAGAGTTGATGACCGATGACATGAAGTCAGCTCGGTCCCAAAGGTCAATGTTGGACCCGCTTACCCATCCGTTTCAATACGCAAAGGAAAAGTTGAGGTCGCTTGTTACCTATGACGGTTACGGGGATGAATATACCCCTAGCGTGATTCCAACTGCCGAATGCGAAGCACTGACCGCAGATGCTCGCGATCCGCAAGGACCAGCTGAAAAGCCATCAGGTAGCAGCCGATCCCCGGTGAAAACAAGTGCACCGGTCCCACCCCTGCAATTCTCTCAGGGGCCAATGTCAACTGACCGCAAGCAGGGTGGTAAGCCTCCCGGCGGTCCGCCACCTGATGATGATGGCGATGGCGATGGTGATGAAGACGAAGGTGATGGCCTCGGGCCTAACCTCGGCAATGAAGCATTCGCCAAGATGTTGATGAAGTTAGTAAAAGGCCAAACGAACGATGAAAGCCCAGAACCCGCGAAAGCGAGACGTTGCGATTCAAGGAGATGCCAACTCCTGAAACGTACCGTGAATGGAAAACATCGGTTCGTGAGGATGTCCGCGCCGCATCTGACCGTCCAGACGAGGCTTGGCCCTGGATCATGGAAGTCTGGTCCGATCGCGAGGACAAGAAGAAGCTGTTGGAGGAGCTCGGCGAACCGGGAAAATTCGTGACCCTAGACACGAAGATTCTCGCAGCGCTCACGCGTTCAGCGAAAGGCGATCTGGCTCAGCGAATCCTAACAGCAAAGGAAGAATGTGCCAAGGAGGGAAAGGCCATGAGAGGAAGGCAGGTCTTGTTTATGTTTGACCAATATTTCAAGACCAGTGAAGAAGCCGGAAACCTCTACTCCTTGGAGGACCTGTTGCGTGTCTCGCGACACGGCGAAGGAATCATTGATCTCAAGCGTTTCCTGAACGCTTGGGATTCCGTGATCGCCGGCATGAAAAGGCCGCCGGAAGAAAAGGTGTTGAAAGACATCTTGCTTCGCCAAGTGAGAAGCTGCCATCTGTTGCGGTATGACATTGACACATATGATCGTTGCCGTGATGATGATCCCAACAAATCGTACGATTTCTTAATGCGTTGCATGAGGGATCTAATCGAGAGGGATAGGCTCCGCGAGAACCGAGAGCGCGTGTCCAAGGTCAATGCCAGTAAAGCCCCGACGCCCAAGGCTGGTGCTGCCGCCCCTGAAAAGAGGGACCCCAAGAAAAAGAGCGCACCTAAGCCGAAGGACGCCGAGGAGAAGTACTGTTTTGACTTCCAGAAGGGCTCGTGCACGAGGGGGCAAACTGCCCTTACGCGCACCGCAAGGAGCCGCGAGGACGCTCCGCGACCCGCGGCAGGCCAAGTTCCCCTAAAGGCGGTAAAGGAGAGAAAGCACCGTGTTCTTTCTTTGCCCAAGGGAAGTGCACTAGAGGTGACAAATGCAAGTTTAGCCATGCCTCCACGGGCGGCAAATCTGCCGCCGCGGCATCGAGCAGCGAGGCCAATGCAAATCCTGCGGCTAAGAAGCGTGCAAATTCACCTAAGCCTAAGCCCAAGGCCAAAGCCGCTGCAGTCTGCACCAGGTACGCAATGTTCGCAAAGCCGATCGATCCAATCGGAGTGTCATTCGACACCAATGCTCATGTGCATGAAATCCCCGCCGAAGGCGATGGTTTTAAGCTTGAGTATGAGGAACGGCAGTACAATAGGATGTTTCCAAGTGCTAAGGACTACCCCAGGCCGACCAAAGGGACTAACAAGGCAGCGCGCAAGGCCGCGAACCAGTTGAATGCCGTAGTCAAAGCCATGGAGAATGGAGCCCAGCCCGCTTGCGGTTTCATGTGCGATGTGGAATCCGATTCCATCTCAAGCCTATCGTGTGATGAGTGCCTGAGAGTTGCCATGCCGCCTCACGATGTTCGCAAGGATGTCGAAGCGCCAAGGGCAGCCACCCCTGCCCCAAAGGGAAAGGATGTGTGGCTCATTGATTCCGGTAGTGAGCAGGACCTCATCAGCAAAGCTGCACTGAGGAATACGTCCAAGGCAATTCGAAAACAGGCCCCTCAGCCCATTCGCCTTGTGACTGCAAACGGAAACATCACTGCTTCCGAAATCGCCGACATCAATGTCGATGCATTGTGTGAGCCTGCTCAGCCTTACATCCTCGAGAGTTCTCCCGCAGTGCTGTCGCTGGGTGTGAAGTGTCTGGATCAAGGATATTCCTTCCATTGGGAATCCGGGAAGGCGCCAACCATGGTTCGCCCTGATGGTGCTCTGATCCAGCTCAAGGTTGACGGTCATGTGCCATATATGGATGTGAAGCTGAGCCATCGTTGAGTGCAGTAGCAGCATCCAAGCCAGCGCCTGCGCCGGTTCATGACGAAGGCATCGACGAAGGTGATGATCCCGACGATGAAGTTGAGCGGTTTGTGAGATCCCGCAAAGAGCAAGATCTGGTTGCCGAAGCAGGTACCAAAGAGCACTTGTTTGCACACTATCCGAAGAATCCCTTTTGCCGCACTTGCCAACGTGCCAAGATGCTTGCCCCATATGCAAGATCGAAAGGCGGGCAGGGAAGGCTCGAGACGAAAGCGTTTGGAGATCACATCATTGCTGATCATGTGATTCTCAAGGCCAACATCGAGCAAGGCATAAAAGGTGA